ACAGGCATGAGTGTATGTGTGTGTGTATGCATGGTTGTGTGTCGGGAGTGTTGGCTTTGTGTTATGCTGGCAGCTTGTGTAGGGGTACACCTTGCATTTCCATGGATAGTTTCTCGTTACCTGGCAGTTATAACAAACACTTCTTTCTAGAGTTCATTGTTAAGCCATCTGAGTTGGTTACTGCTAGGTGTGTTCAGTTACGGGAAACAAAAGGTGGGATTTTTCAACAAAAATGGTCGCCGTAAAATTTAAAGTAATGGATGTTTTACTGCAAAAATCGTGACTACATGAAAAACAGTGTGTAGGTCACAAACATTATCAACATATTTGACTTTCCTTTATTTAAAGGTGACATATTTGTTTTTTTCTTAAGTTATAATAATTCTGTATCAAAACAAAACATGAAAGTGTTTGCGCTAAATCTCTCTCACATAAAGCAATTTTAATAGTTTAATTCTAGACCAGGGGTAGGCAATCCTTGAGCTCTAACACACCTAACTTAATTGTTGATTCACACATTAACCAAGTTTTCAAGCTCTACAGAAGTCTGTTAATGACCTACTGATTAAAATCAGGTGTGTTGGAACAGGGAAAAAACTAAAACACGCTGGATAGCGACATTCCAGGTCAAGGATTTCCTACCCCTGTTCTAGACAGTTTTGGTACCTTCCAGAATGAGCAGTTTCAGGGCTCTGTTACTTTAACTCATTCACTGCCAGCCGTTTCCTGATCAGAAAAGTCCTTCGCTGCCAGAGTCACAAAACGTTGCGCTCTATGATGATGTCAATGCCAAAACTACCAAAACAAAGAGTAGACTCACCTCTTACATCAGGAAGAATCCACACGTTTCGAGCGTTATCTGTTCTTTCATAATCTGTTGTCGAATTGTGATGGCAGAAGCTTTTCCGGTTCGCGCCTCACTTTTTTTTTACAGCAGTGGCCCAAAACGATCTTCAAACACATGGATTTTCTGCTTCCTGGTCATATGATGTGTGACGTACAAGGATGAAGATCGGCTTTAGAGCTGGGATGTTTGTTCTCACGGTGCGGGGGCTCGTCCCGACTCCCACACAGTAAAAAAAAAAAAATGCAAATGACGAATTTAGTCGTCATTGACAGTGAATGAGTTAAGAAAACTGGCTGGCCACGCCCACCCATCCCTCGCTCAGGTTGCTATAAGCTGAACAGCTCCTGGGAAGGGTTTGAAGTAGAGCAGCTGCTCCTGTAGCCTGGAGAGGTGAGAGGACGTTTTATGCTTGAGAAATCACTTTTTTAGGTAGATAACTCCTAAAACAGATATATGTTCTCCCCCCTCCCCCTCACGTTTGGAGTGTTTAAAGGTTGGTTTATACTTGACGCGTCTGCGAGGTCCTCACGGCTCCGCGCGGCGAAATTGCATCATTTTAACAACCACACCCCTAACACCGCGCCTCCGCACGGCCCAAAATTTCTGCACCGCGTACCTAGGAAATTTTCTAACCACGCGGACGGATGGACGCGGAAAAACATGGCGGACCGGCAAGAACTAGTATGGCAGAGGTTCGTAAATACAGACATTTGTATGATTCAGCTCTCAGATATCACTGTGATCAACATGTTGTTAATAATTCTTGGAGGGAAATAGCTCGCACTGTCGGAAAAGACGAGGACGCTGTTAAAAATGCTGGAATGCCATGTTGTAAACAGTAATTTCTACTTCTACTATGGTGTAGTGTTGGGTGCATGCCGTAGAGCTCCATGCTGCCCCGTTCAGTTTGGGAGAATATTGGCTCACCGCAGAGACAAGCCGCATGAACCATAAACGCTGCAAGTTGTGAAGCGCGTTCCAGCCGCGAGCCGCATCACCAAGCGGAAAGTGAATGTGTCAAGCATAAACCAAGCTTAAGGAGGCAGTAGAGACCCATGTGGTCTTGAAAAATCTTTTCAAAATGCAAACATAGTAAAATTACCTTTTTTATAACTGCATTCTTCATTACACTGTTTTTATATCCTTATTACACAAACTTGAATCACAAGAAACATATTTTGATTATTATTTTATATATTGTTTTTTCATGCACGCATACATACACACGGCAACAGTCAGCTAAGGAGTAGCCACAGACGCCCAGGTGCGGTCTGAAATCCACTGCTTATCAGCTCATCAAAAAATATTATTCATTTTTAGTGATTTTAAAATCACTTTATGAGTAAGTAAAATAGTACATATTATGTTTTAATACCCGATTCGCAGCTCTTTGAAAGTGTACCCCAGCCTTTTTATCTGGTAATTACTGGAATTAACAGTAGTCCTCTATGCATCTCATAAAAGTATAAAGCAAGTATGACTAATAATTAGACATAATTATTTTTATCGTACACTACAAAGATGTTATTTTTAAAGTGTAATATAAAACAATTAAATTAATCAATTTGTATTTAAATGCCCAGCAGAACCTACAAATACTCGTGTGCTCGTTGGCTGCAGGGTATGTTTAGAAAAATGTAAAGAGATGGAAAAATACAGTCTGGCATTTCAGATGTGCACTCCTACACACTTTCACTTTAAATAATGCATAGGTAGCAGGATGAGTGGCTATCATTGACATACAGTCCAGAGTGAAATTATTTAAATCAGTGTCACTGATTGCAATTAACCCCTGTTTAAAACGACATAATATTGTAATTTTGTTCCTAGTGGTAAGAGTAAAAACATACTTATCTCAGAGCCTTTGGATGCCATCATTTACTTGTGAGAACTCACTTCAAGTATACAGTATTATCATGTTGCCCGTCCATTTACAACGCTGGACATTAAAAGAAGCATCAAACGGTGGTGAGGTAAGGGTTTTAACTGCAGGTTTAATGTTTATTTTAACGACAATCTTTACAACCAAGAGACAATGTCCCGTTTTTATTGTATGATTGGTTTTTACTATATTTGGCCAATTATGGGTTTAATTCATTCAAGGGCAAAAGTATGACAAGGGAAACATGTTTGAAAGAACACAAATCTACTTCGCTTATCTACTAAGGCCATTTTGTTTTGACAACAAAGACCACAGAAATGTGAGAGCACAGAGGTCATCTTTTAAAGACACAAAGATAAACTGTTTTCCTTTCTTTCTTTCCAAAATTTTGCCTCAAAGCGAGCAACAGCAAATGGAACAAGGGACAAGAAGGAAAAAACACTCTTCATTGAATATTCATTAACCGGTGCCTAGGTGTATACATGGCTCTTAACCACTCTTGTTTATGACTTAAGGACTTGTAGTACTGACCTTAGTTTAACACAGCAGCAGATACCAAATTAACCTCTAGCCTCCACAGGGTTAGCCATGCCCTGCTAACAAGCAACCTGTCTAGACACACAAGAAGTACTTTATGATTCCACCTTTCACAATCCCCCCTCTGTCTCTCTCTTTTTGTTTCTCTCTTACTTTCTCTCTCAACCTTTCTGTCTCCACTAACACGTACTGGCACATCCTCACGCCCTCTATGCTCTTCTGTTTTTCTCCCCACTATTTCATCCTTGTTTGCCCCCATACACCATTTCTCATGTACCTCCCAAGCTGTGCAGTGTTTGGGTCGTGCTCCCAGCATCCAAGGTTTATATATATATATATATATATATATATATGTGTGTGTGTGTGTGTCTATAATATTTTTTACAAACCCGAAGTTGGTTACTCGTTAGAATAATTAAAAGAATTATTTGTTTTCATACACTTTATTCATAGACTTCTTCACAACTACAAAAAAGTTTTCCATTGGTTCAATAGTTTTTGTGATGTTAACAAATGTTTGTTATAATAAGAAAATATTTCACCAGGCACATGTTTATGTTTATGTTTATGTATTTAGCAGACGCTTTTGTCCAAAGCGACTTACAAGTGATGTGTTTATAAGAATGAAAAGATGTCTTTTTTAAGTGCACATCATAGACTGTACATACTGTGCACATTTTCCCATTTCCCCAAGATTCACTGATTTCCCTCTTTCCTGTTCACTCTCTCTCTCTCTCTCTCTCTCTCTCTCTCTCTCTCTCTCTCTCTCTCTCTCTCTCTCTCTCTCTCTCTCTCTCTCTCTCTCTCTGTCTCCCCCTCTCCCTCCCTCTCTCTCTCTCTCTCTCTCTCTCTGTCTCCCCCTCTCCCTCTCCCTCTCTCTCTCTCTGTCTCCCTCTCTCTCTCTCTCTCTCTCTCTCTTTCTTTCTCTCTCTCTCTTTGCCTTTTTAATCACAATTGTCTATTTTTGCTTATTTTGAACATATTTTAAATCATTTTTTGAAACCTTTTTTATATTTTATATTTTTGTGAAGTGCCTTGAGATTTTTGTCTTGAGAGGAGCTACAGAAAAGATTGTTTTCTTTCTTTCTTTCTTTCTTTCTTTCTTTCTTTCTTTCTTTCTTTCTTTCTTTCTTTCTTTCTTTCTTTCTTTAAACGTTTGAACACTTACAGATCAAGAAGAAAGAAAATGTACCTGAAATTGGAATAGGCTTATTTGTGCATATCCCACATTACATTGAGATAAATTTTGAATTTGTAAAAAGAATAGTAAAATAATACAATGAGACATTCACATGAAATATTATGTTTTTACATATTTACAGTAGTTTCTCATTTTCTGTATGAATTTGTTACATAATAGAAATATTACTAATGCTTCAGTTTATTCAAAGTATAACAATGCACAACAAAACAAAAAAACTTTAGTATATTATAATATGAAAGCCAGTGGATATAATATTAATTACAACATATTAGAAATACATTTATAGAAAATAACTTGTTAAAGGAAATGGGTATATCGTATTTTTAAAATGTACTTTTAAATATTCTTGTTTTGTCTATCGAATTAAAACTTTGCGCTTTCAGGACATTTGTCCCTACATAGTTTCCGTAGTCCTCCAATGTGATTGGTCAATGCGCCGAACATAAAATCGTTGTGAGATCGTTCATCCAGTGAGTAACTTGCTAGCTCGGTGTTCGCATCTGTAAAACTAGTAAAACATCTATTTCCTATCTTATTAGGATCTGTTATGATGTAACAATACCTGTACATTGTACTTTATTGTTAAACAATCTCCTACGCTATTAGAGGCTAACGAACTGACCCACGGAATAGCTGGTAGTTAGCACTTAGCTCGCTAGCTACATAGAAGCTCATTTGATAATTTGAACGTTTTAACCGTACATAGTTTTGCATTTAGGCGTGTACTATCTGGCTACAGCTATTCGTTTTAATATTCTCGGGTTTGAATAATGCCTTTGTTACTAGATAATCAATTATAGCTTAAATGTGTATTAGGGTAATGCTAATGCGGTTCTTTATTGTGATAAAATGAGATTTACTCATCTGTTTTATTCTTTTAGATAAAAGCGAAAATGAGTTTGAGAAAGCAGACCCCGAGTGACTTTCTGAAGCAGATAATTGGGAGACCTGTCGTGGTCAAACTGAACTCTGGTGTTGATTACAGAGGTAATGCAGCTGGCATCAGGTGTGGGAATGTTTAGGGTTCTCAGAGTTTGATTAGGTTATGAATCAGAGGGTTTGTTAAGCAGTCATTGATGCATCTTTTTACGCCTTCTGCCTCATGTTTAGTTCTAGACAATGACCCCCTGACAACTACTTTTAATTTTTAATGATCTTTTAATTCATTACAGTTAAGTTCTTTATACAGGCAGACAGGAAGTTGAATGATGTAATCCCATATAGGATTAGAAACTATGAAACAAACACTAACTGAAAAACAGTTAAATTACTGCAGTTAAACTCCAGTTAAATGCTGAGTAATTGGAATAAACTTGAAAAGTTTCGTGAGGACCAAATTTTGCTTTAATCTTCAACAAACTATTTGTGTTTGTGTTGATATTAATTCATTTACCAAGCTAAAGAGAGATTCACACAGGTTACACAGATACATGGAGGAGGAACACTTTTTGACACAACACTCCTACTCAGACATCTTTGTTACAGTTTAAAATGTTCAGTTTTTCAGTATTTGATGTATTTATTTCTTCAGTCAAGACTCAAACTCCATCCCAGTTGCACACCATAATGTGCCACACTTCTGCACTTCAGATGTCTGCCTTTTACACTCACCTAAATAATGATCATTATTAAAATCTGTTTTGATAATTTTTGAATGAATTTGTAATGGTTTATGTTTGCATCAAAATGCATAAAAAACAGTATGCCCCTCTTCCCTAGCTGGCACGTTCAGGTCTGTTGTTGTTTTATTGCCCAGGTAAGTTTATTTTTAATCTGAAGTTTGTGTTTGTCTCTGAGCAGGTGTTTTGGCCTGTCTGGATGGTTACATGAACATCGCAATAGAGCAGACGGAGGAGTATGTCAATGGACAACTCAAAAACAAGTATGGAGATGCCTTTTTGAGAGGAAATAATGGTAAGATTTGATGTTTTCACGCTGCAGGGCGTTATACAACACCGTTTTCCTCTGTTACTATAGCTCCAAGTCATATTTAATGATTAAACATTCCAGGTTATGAAGGCTGTACATTTGCCATGATCTGAGTCTTTGGTGCAGTCAACTTCCTAGCCTCATTCTTATTAGCTCACAGAGACAACATTATTACACTGTGTGCTCTAATAGATCTTTCAGTTGTTTAGGTTTTTTTTTTCAATCCAAAGTGATTAGAGATTTAAATTTGTTGACAATTTTTAAATGAAACTTTCAAAGTCATGCACCACAAGATGTTTATTTTCATTTTCTCATTAAGCATTTTTGCACCTCAAACCTATCTTTATAGGAAAACCACAAGATATTCCCTTTTAAAGTTGGGAAACTAACCATGTCGGAGTTATACAGGAAGCTCACTTCCGATGAAAACATCGAGCCCCTTTGTTGCTGCTTTGAAAAAACTGGTAAAATGCTACTATTTTACAGCATCGTTTGTTAATTAATTCATTATGTTACATTAGAAATGTACTGATTTAGCTTCTGATGGCAGAAACTGATTTGTGTTGCCTCAAAGTGATACTAATTTTGGGTGATTTTTAAATATAATATGCTGTTTGAATTTAAATATTAAATAGAATATTTTGGAAGTGTAAACTTCTACATTAATAGGGTTAATAAGTAGGGTTAGGGAATATTTTGATACCTGTGTGATTTTTGTGGTGCCTCTCTAGACTGAGCAGATACAGCTGCGACTGACTACTAGGGATGCACCGATGGATCGGCATTTGATCCCAACTGGCCGATAGCGCCCCTATCGGTTTTGATCGGAGTTTTCAAAATGGATCAAAGCAGACCGATCAGGTAGGGTTGTCACGGTAACCGGTGTAGCAGTAAACCCCGGTAAAATAAAAAAAAGTTGACAATAATAATAACCGTCCGTTTTTAAAAAAACTATATTATCTCGGTGGTTTACCGTGGCTGCGGTGTAGGCGCGGTGACCCTTACCAGCCACCGTATCATCTGTTGAAGTTGCCAGCGGCACATGCGCACTTTGTTGTTTACAACCAAAACTTTCTTGAAGCTAAAGCTGAAATAATGGCCAAAGGAGGAAACGGCAGCGCGCAGGACATTTATTATACCTCAAAGAAAACAAAGTGGGAAGTACGGGCATTTTTTGAATATTTGAAGAATGCCGAGGGACAGTTTATAGAAGACGGCTATCCTGTTTGCAGCACGTGCAGAAAAAGTGTCTGTGAAAGGCAGCAACGCTTCAAATCTCATGACCAGTGTTGGGAACGTTACTTTAAAAAAGTAATTAGTTATAGTTACTGATTACTTTGTCAAAAAAGTAACTCAGTTACTAACTGAGTTACAAGATCATAAAAGTAACTAATTACCAACAAAAGTAACTACTTGGTTACTTTTTTCATTAAAGAATGCAAGAATTACTACAATAGTAAAATATAAATGACTAATGACTGGAACATAATAAAATGTATGTCCAAATGTTTTATATAAACCTGAATAATTTAAACAAATAAGCACTTAACAGGAGGAACTACTAACAGGAGCATTACACTAATCTAGACTATTAAAAGGTCACTGTGTGATATTTAACAAGACCCCAATCAGCTAAAATTTAAAATTTAAAATAGAAACATCTGCAAATGTTCCCGAGCCTTTAAATGGTCTCTCAGTCTAGTTAAATTACAGAAATAAATGTAATTTTGCACAGTATTCTAATTTTTCCAGCTTCACATAATTGTGTGTTTTTAGCAGCATTTCTGTTGCTGGTAATCTAGTAATGGTGAAATAAATAAATATAAATCCTTTAAAATGACACCAGAAGAGGCACAAGCCTGATGGAGGACTTACATTTACTAACTTGGGTCAGACCCAACCACAGAAGAGCTGAAGCTGGGTGGTAAACACACACAGGTAGTTCTGATAACACCTGAGCTCCATGACGTCTGAGACTGTTGCGTCAGTGCTACAGCGGGACTAAAGACATGATCAGAAACAGGTTACAGCTGGATGATCTAGGAAGGTAGAAGATCAGGACGTCTGAGCGGTGAACAGGTGAGCGGACCTTCGGGACGTCCCGCTGTCACGCCAAGAAGGGCACGGCTGCAGACCCGCAGATTCGCTGCTGCACGCATTTTCTTATCAGTAACAGGAACGACGTTTTGATCAAAGAAGACGTAATTAATTAGTTTGCTCGTTACAGAAAGAAATATTTTTTATTAACGCGGTTATTTTAAACGGAGTTATTCCCGTTGTGTCTACAGAATGCAGTGACTGAGACAGTGAGGGTCTCCGCCCACCCGGCCAATCATCATCATGTTTGTAAGTGCGTTACCGACACCTCTCTCTCCCTGGCTGCAGCTGAAGTGTGGCGGTCAGAAAGCCTGTTGCTCAACGTTCGACAAGCACATAGTAACGCACAACGTTCCGTCCCCAGTAACGGTAACGGCGTTGCAACGGCGGGAAAAGTAATTAATTAGATTATTCCGTTACCTAAAAAAGAACGCCGTTAGAAACGCCGTTATACTTAAAGCGGCGTTACTCCCAACACTGCTCATGACACATCTGCGTGACCATCACCCACAACTCTACAGTCAACGCAAGGCAAGTTAACGTTAGCGTTTTAGCTAAAATGCGTGATCCGAGGATTTGGGTTGAGGGAGAATGCAACAAGTCGCTATATAAAGCAGCCGCAGCGCCGCTACCTGCATATAAACTGTGTTGCGGACACCCCCATGTTTAAATGACGCTATGCATTACGGGGCTCCCAGGGGCAGATAAGAGTTGGTCTCTTTCCGAGAATAATTATGAATTTAACAATGATTACTGCCTGATGACATTTTCCCAAATCTGCAAATCTCACTGGAAGGACACAAACCGAGGACAATATTTTCCTGATATAGGGTTTATTACTCAAGTAAGGGTAAAAAAGTATCTGATTAGAAGGCTACTTGAGTACTGAGTATCATCTGATCTAATATTTTTAAAATGATGACATCCAACAGACAAAAAATAAGAAGTTATGGTCAAATATTGGTATTTTAAAGACTAAAGGGGAAAAATGTAAACAAATAAACAATATAATTACAAAATAACACATTTTAGGCTAAATTTAGACACAAACTGAGGACAATATTTTCCTGATATACAGGGTTTATTTAATTGTGTGAAAATGTAGCACGTTTAAAAAAAATACTGCGATAATACCGAAAACCGTGATAATTTTGGTCACAATAACCGTGAGGTTAAATTTTCACACCGTGACAACCCTAATACAGACCATTTTAGATTAGGTTACATTTCCTTTATCCCCAGATTATGTAGTTTGTAGCACTCATTATAATGTTGTAGAAAATTTCTGGCCAATCCACGTGATCGGTATCGGTGATCGGTATCCGTGATCAGCATTCTTTGATATCGGTATCGGTGATCGGCAGCAAAAAACCTGATCGGTGCATCCCTAATGACTACTACCTAAACTTATTCCTGTAAGTTTGTCTGAACCAAAGAGGATGTCCATTAAGGAAAGGAAGAACAAAAATGGAAGCACGGAGTAAAGTTTAAAATATGCAGGAGGAAGAGACTTTGCTTCTCATGTGATTGGTTTACTGTTTATAGGAACTAGTGTGTTGTTATATCAGGGGTTTAAATGTGTGACCTTTAACCCATGCATTAGAAAGATTTCCCTAGCTGACTCGGACAGTTCTGCTGCTGCTTTATTTAGTTCCTTTTGAGTCCGTGATTCCCGGGTTTCACACCTATTGATCTTTTGTTACCATAATAATCTTTATTAATCGTTTTAGACTCTCCTTAATAAATATGAGAGTAAAATCAACTATTAATTCCACCTTTTTTTATTAACAACCATAAACAGATGTATCTTTTTCATGACAACTAACATTTTAAAAGTAAACATTTTTATTAAAGGAATTTTAATAGCAGTGGAAAAAATGATAATGATCTTTTAATCGCTGCCATAACAAATTACCTTTGATATTGGAATTTTATTGTGTAAGTTAAAATTAGAATTTATTGTAATATTGATCACAAACAGGAAGAAGCTGAGCTCTGTTTTCACAGGAATGCTGCAGTCCAGTGGCCGTCCCTGAGAGAGTTGGTGTTAATTATTTGAGCGTCCTTTGGAACTCTTTACAGATGGTTGAAATACTTTTATTATTTTTTTAAATTCTTCATCTATTCTGAACCGAGGTCTGCATCTTCTCCTTTCTGGCTGCATGTTTCAGACAGCAGCCAAGAACTGTATGTACTGTATGATTCCATGGTGACTGTGAATCATGCAGGCCAGTGCGGTTTACAGTCTCTAGATAGGACTATTTTAGTCTTAAAGGAGCAGGAGGCAGAATGTAGATTTATGTAGAAGCAGAAGGCTAAAATAAAAGCTTACCTGTGTGCCTTTCTGTACAGCCTACAGCTTTCTACGTCTCCGGCCAGAGCAAATCAATTCAGCTTTAAGAGGAGAAATGGGATTTAAGTGGGGGAGGAATGCTGCTGCAGGTCAGCGCTTCCCACAGACAATTTGTGGTCAACCATAGGAAGTAAAGGGTGGGTGACTTCAAAGAGCACCGAGCATCGATAATCACTCGTTGTAGGGAGCACGGTCAGGTGTGTTTGGTTCCAGGTTAGAAAATGAGCCACTTATTTAGGATCTCAAGTAAGAATTGTTGTATTTGTGTTTGTGTTTGAAGCATTTTCGACATTTAACACGTCGAATCAAATGCAAACACTTATTTTTTTAATCTCTTGCAGTTTTGTACATCAGCACCCAGAAGAGGAAGGCGTAGATCTGAGTGATGTTTCAGAAGACAACTGTTTGTTTTTTTAGTTATGTAAAAGTTTTGTTAAGAAAAAAATGAAGTTGAACAATAAATCTTGATTTTCATTCAAGTTTTCTTTGTTGCCTTGATGTTGAAAATAAAAATTCCGTTGGTTGAATTGTTCTTGAAGTGCAGTCTGTTCTTTGATCACCGTTTACCTTTAAATCGTTCCGATGGGATTATGGAAACGAGGCAAAACAATCATTTAGTTTTGTGATCTGAATGTGTGTCAGAGCCTCCTGCGAGCTGATGGACTTGTGAGTGGAAAAAGAATCAAACAAAAGCTGATTTCTGAGTTAAAGCCCTCATTCATTTCGCCTCGGAGCAAGCAGAGTCGTCCAAACCGGCCTCATTTCCTCTGCAGCCTTCAGATTAGAACATAATATTGTAATTTGTACGTCTTAATGTGCTGCTGCTGTAATTGATCTTGATGCGACTGGCCTGCAGGAACCGTAACTGAACAGCTCAAATGTTCTCATTACTGTTTTGATAAGTAAAATCATTTCTAAAAACACTCCCCTTTGATGCTCGTTGAACTTTTATCTCTTACTTCCTGGATCTTAAACGCACCATTAATGATGCGACTTTAAGTAACGGAGCACTTAAGTAGCTTCGTGTTTGTTTATCTTGTCATGTGATGTGATGGAGCAGCACCCTTTACAGGAGGGACCTGTTGCTCCTTTGAATCCTTCGTCACTGACAAAACCCTGCACTGACTTCTCCTGTGTGTTAACGCACGTTAGTGACTAACAAGGGAGTGTGACTGCAAGACTAATCTGTAAATGGTGCCACCTGCAGGCTGCATTAACATGGACTCCCTCTGCTGCAGACGTCCACGTTTCAGCTTTTTAAATCAGGAATCAAAAACACACGGGACACCTTCGACCGCACATAGGTTTAGGTTTTCCTCAGCTCGATCAGGTTTGACCTGCAAAAATCAGTGCAGCAACATAAATGACAGCTTGGAGGATTAGACGTGTCCTGTGGTGATTTTAGAAACCGAGTTCAAAAGCAGCATCACCTCATTATGCGGAGATTCAAATGCTACAAATATATGATTCATTAGGTTTATTAGAAGGCTGTATTGTGTAGGCAGCAAGGGCAATTCTTCTCTTCCAAGGGTGGATTATTTTTTTCTTTTTTTAAGAGCCTTGTTTTCCAACCTGTACATGCGCACTCTTGCCCCTGGAAGGAGACAAAAGGCTGCCAAGGTCAGGTCTGATTTGAGAATGAAGGACGCGTTATTGATCAAACTCTGCTGAGCTGCAGCTGTGGAGAAAATGTTTTGGAGTGGTGGTGGGGGGTGATGGTGCTTCTGTACACACACGCATAGTGAGTGATGTGTCCACGGAAACACACTGTACACAGAATCATTGTAGTGAGGGTTAGTACAGACAAATATTTGCCCACTGGAATCATAATTGAGCTGCAGGCCGCGTGTCCTCACCAAATTAATACGAATGACCTCGGGAGCAGCTAAGCAACCGAACCGCTCGCTGTGCTTCATGAATTAAAAACTTCTCATGCACCAACTTCGTCTTGCATGATCACATTTGAATCCTCTTAAATCCTTTCGAAACCTGCATGTTTCCTTTTCTTTCCCTTTCTTATGGATTATTGAAAAAGGTGCCCGAGGGGTCATAAAAACATCCAGCCCCTCTCATTCTGCAGAGTTGCATTTGCAACAAGCCTTTTGTCTCCCGTCCAGGTGGGTTTGCAGCTGAAAAGCAGGATGCTGCAGTGGTTCAACGTTGACGTATGGAGGTGAGTGATGGAGGGGAAAGGACAAAGGAGGAGAGAATAGGTGACAGCCCTGTTATGTTTAGAGGAAAAGGCCTCAAGTCTTACAGCACCACCATCTGCCGGAGGTGCAGAACTACAGTTGGAGGCGAGGAGCAGAAAGCGGGAGTGTGCTCTGACCCTGACTGATCACTGCAGCATGACTGTCTAGTCTCTTCGAAAGGGATCAGAGAAGACAAGGACGACCGGTGGGGTTTTTATGTTCGCCTGTGCTCGTGAACAAGGTTAAATGTGTGTCTTCTTTAATGTAAATCTATTCAGAGGGAATCATTTCTTGTGAAACCTTTTTTTTTAAATATATAACCAACGTGGATTAAAAAAGCAAGAAAAATCTGCACTAAATGTAGCAAAAGTGAGATTTTCTGCATGCACGAGGATGTTTGTGTGTGTGTGAACAGACCGTCCTGTTCACTTTGTATGAGGAAGTGAACTTGACCAGCTTTAACCTCTGCCTGACAGCCTGTCACGTGTTTAGGATGTAAATGATGGCACCGACCTCCTGCTCCGCCTCTGCTTTCACTTCCTGGTACCACTCACTTTGAGCAGAAATGCACAGAGAAGCACTCAGAGCATACATTTAGTAACAGCCCCTTGTACCATCATCCCTTAGTGTGCTTGCTCCTCTTCCTGGTGTTTGCAGAAGCTCGTGCTGGATGGTGGGTTTGATCCTAATTGAGAGCGAAGGCCTGAGCTAGCCCTTGTTGCTGTGCAACTCCTTGGCTCTTTATTTGGCCCCTGAGGACACTCAAACTTGGCCAGAAATGTGACCCTTAACCCCCTTATCTGGAAAACGTCTATTCCCAGCATGCATGTGGGCTTCTGTGTTTAATCTGGGCTCTGAATGGCAGCTTGATGCAGATGGTGAGGTTACAGAAGGGTAACTAGGTGCTCATCCAGAGGCTGCAGATCGGCACCATTTCACTCTCATGCAGATGAAATCCGTGTGTGTGTGTGTGTGTGTGTGAGAGAGAGAGAGAGAGAGAGAAAGCAGTAAGTGATGGACTCAGACCAAGGCAGGAAGAGTCTTGAATGACACGCTCCACGTGAGTCCTTGAACCCTGACTACAAAAGACTCCGCAGCTGTCCCACAATAGTCGAGTCTATTTTGGAAACACGGTGGCTTGCTTACTGATGTAACCATATTGTCTTATTGACGTGACCTGACCCACTTAAGCCACAATGACTTTAGATGCTGTGAGCACAAAGAGCATTGTGAGTTTTCTTGACGGGGCCAAAAGTGTTTGTTAGTTCTACGTTTTGTGGTGACGATTCGTCCTAATGGACATTGTTAGCAAAACAATCGAGGATCCAGAGTTGGTTACCGAGCATGAATAAGACTTACAGTGGTTTAACGAGAAGTCGATGCACCCTTTGCACATCTTAGAAGAGCATCTTCTCTGGAAGACTTTCCACGTGCTTTTAGGAGTGTGTTTATGAGAATTTTTTACCTTTCTTCTAGAAGCGCTTTGGTGAGGTGAGGCACTGACGTTGGATGAGAGGTCTGGACCTCAGTCTCCTCCCTAGTGGTGTTCTGCTGAGCTGTGATCAGGACTCTGAGCAGGCCAGTCAAGCCCCTACACTAACTCTCCCATGGGGCTGAAAAGTATTTGGCAGCCGCCAATTGTGCAAGTTGTCCCACAGATGAGAGGTTTGTAATTTTCACCATAGGAACACTTCTACTGTGAGAGACAGAATGTAAAAAGACTCACAGGAAGTCACATTATTTTTTTTTAAAGAATTTGTCTAATGGTACAGAAAACATTCGGTCATGTCAGACAGTCACCTCAATACGATGTGAGGTAACCTTGGTTTACAGTGACAGAGGTCACACTTTTGCTGTAGATTCTCACCAGATTAGCACATGCTGTAGCTGGTATTTTGGCCCATTATTCATGCAGATCTTCTCTTGAGCTGTGATGTTTTGGGGCTGTCATGGGCAACACAGACTTTCAACTTTCTCCAGCAGATTCTCTACTGGATTGAGGTCTATAGACTGGCAAGACCACTTCAGAAGCTCAAAATGCTTCTATGTCCCTCCCTTGTAGCCCGAGCAGTGTGTTTGGGATCATTGTCACGCTGGAAGATCCAGCCACTTTTCATCTTCAAAGCCCGTCACAGACGGAGCGAGGTTTTTAATATGGTTTAGTCGTCCTGTCCCCTTTGCACAAAAGCAGCCCCAAAGCATGATGCTTCCACCCCATGTTTCACAGTTGGTGTGCTGATCTTTGGATGCAACTCAGCATTCTTCCCCCTTCAAACAGGGCAAGTGTTTATGAGAATAGGTTCTATTTTGGTCTCAACTGACTACAGTCCTCCTCTGGATCATAAAGATGGTCTCTGACAAATTCTAGGTGGGATGGATATGTGCTGGCTTAAGCAGGGAGACTTTTCAAGTGCTGCAGGACTTTAATCCATGATGGTCCACCTTGGCACTGTGGTTTCAGCTCTCTTCACACCCTACATGTAGTTCTGGGCTGTGCCTTCACTGTTCCCAAGATCATTTGTACCCCACAAGATTAGATCTTGCATGGAGCCCCAGGTCGAGGAAGATGTTCAATGATCTTGTAATACTCCATTTTTCTAATAATTGCTCCAACAGGTGATTTCTTCTCACCAAGCATCTTGTCTATTGCAGCTTGGCTCATCCCAGTCTTGTGCAGGTGAACATTCTTTCCCTGATGTCCTTAGACAACTCTGGTCCTGGCCTTGGTGGAGGTTGGAATCTGCGTGTTTGAAGGTGTGGTCAAGTGTCTTTTACACAGATGACGAGTTCAAACAGGTGCCATTAACCCTCTGGAGGCAGGCGTTGCAGATTTGCAAAGTTAAAACCTACCTACCTGGTTACTCCACATATGTGATCCATGAGCATTTTTTAAGTCAGAAGCACTCCTGAAGGACTTAGTTGTTCGTCCTTTTATCAAAACTTATTTTGAGCCCGAGAGGGTTAATACAGGTAACAAGTGGAGGATAGAAGAGCTTAAAGAAGACGTAACTGGTCCGTGAGTGCTTGCTTGTCTGTGCTAAAAACTTAGTTTTTGCACCATTATACCAATTAATTCTTTAAAAATCATACAAGAATAATAGATTAAATTTATAAAGCATTTTTTGAGGCACTCTGCTTTTAGCTATTCATGCGCTCACACATTCCCACGCTGCTGGTGATGATAATCACCTATATGGCCACAGCCACCCCCGGGCAGTCTGACAGAGGCGAGACTGCCATTTTGCACCATCAGCCTGTCTGACCACCACCGACATAGGCAAGTTGGGCAAAGTGTCTTGCCCAAGGACACAGCAGCAGAATACCCTGGGGGGAGCTGGGA